TTTCATAGACAGGATGGGGGTGGGTAGAGTTGGAATCTTCTCTAAGTAAAGGGTGATTGAACCACATCATTGGTGGGTTAAGTCCCTGATACCTCAATGTGAGGCTCTGGTAGTCTAGCAAGGAGAATGCAGCTAACGGCAGAAGGCCCCAGTGGGCTTGGTTCTACTTCACCTCCCATCTCAATTCCTAGGTGAGCCACTTATACGATCGGCTACATGGAGGAGAGAGGCCTGGCTGCTCCCCTGTGACCAAGTCCTCTTAGAGGTTGGGTGCACACTGTCCAGTCTGTGTGTCCTGCTCCACGACAGAAAGCAGAAGAGAGCCTGCTGCCATCTCTGGACACAGGGAAAGCTGGTAGCCCTGATTTCAGCCTTTGGGGCTAATAACCTGCCCTCTGGAAAAGCAGGTATCAAACAAGAGTCACACCCTTTTTACTGGTCAGATTAGTCACACCCTTTTTACTTGGTCTTTGTAGAGGACAGAATAAAAGGAAGTGAAGAGCTGTGAGTGGAGGAGACTTTCCATATGAGCTGAGGTGGAAATAACAAGGGAAGATTAGAAATGTCAGGCCCAGAAGAACAGAAACAGAAAGGCCCAGGCACCCTGCTGACTAGGGTCAGGGGGGCAGGAGAGCAGCACCCTGACTGACAAGCACTACAGAAGCATCCTCACACCATGGCTATAATACCTGCTTCACAGGCTTTTGTGAGGATCAAAACCTCACAGTATTTTCACATTCCCCACCTCAGTTCCCGACCTCAGGTCCCCAACCATAGATGGAAAGTAACTGTTTTTGATCCATGCAGTTGGTTGAATCCACAGATGCAAAAGGCTCACTGTAGTAGAATCATAAGTTATACACAGATTTTTGACTGTGTACAAGGGCCAACTGTACTTTGAAGTATGATGTGAGAGATTGGTTTTCAGTATGTTGATTGTGGAGTGATGGAACATGGTCAGACGCTTCTCTGAAAGCCTATTTTATAAAAAGAACAAAGTGGATCTGCTGTAGGTAAATGGGGGAATGGAGGCCTGGAGCTTCACCTGCTACTCCTCCAACCCCCTGCAGGCTTCCCTGAGGTCTGTACTCAGGGGAGTTCAAGGTGGAACCTCGTGGGGCTCTAGGGAGGTCCGGCTCTGCCCTCATTTGGCCCCAGACAACTCACTGAAGCATTCTGAACCACAATTTCCATTAAATGGACAGATCAGACTAGATCAAAGTGTTCTTCGCCCAGTTCCTATGACAGGGGCCTCAGAGGTCTTTGACATCCTTGAGACGTGCAGTATTTTGTGTGTTTTTGTTTTGTTTTGTTTTATTTTGTTGAGACACATGATATAGTTTTGTTATGCCAGCTTCTTAGAAGGATCATGTTCACCCAAGCATTAAGGATTTTTGAGGTCCCTCCCAGTCCTGTCAATCAATTACTTCTGTTGTATATGATAGAATCTCTCCCCAATTTAAACTGGCTTATACTGCAAAGGGAAATTAATGACTCTGGGACCTGAAAAAATCTCAGAGCTGGACTGACTGGAGTCAGCATTCAAGTATTCTTGTCAAGATTCCACCCTTCTCCACTTCTGGGCTCTGCCTCTCTCAGCCTTGACTTCATTCTCAGGTGTCCCACTCCCACCTCCAAGGAGCAAAGTAGCCCTCAACAGCCCCTGCCTCACATCCCATCCCTTTTCTCCAGTAATTCCAGCAAATTTCCAGGGCCAACTCTGATTAGCCCTGCTTAGTCCATGTGTTTCTCTCAGAACCTATCACTGTGGAAAAGGGAAAGAGCCACTCAGGCTGGGAGTCAGGTCAGGATACCCTCCCACCCGCAGGTTTTCTCATCTGCTTGGCCCTGTGAGTGTTACATAACGGGACAGGTGGGCCGGGGCTGTTGCTCTGATGGCTGTGCTGGGACATCTTGGGTCCTGTATGAATTCTGTAGCTCATCTTTGCTGCCATTGCCACAGCCCTTGGCCTCTTCCTCTCTGCCACGGCCCCTCCTATGTATAAGGGATACCAGACTGTTGGACATCGCAGCTTCCTCCATTTGGCAGGAAGTAGATTCTCAGCTTAGAGAAACAGCATCACTGCACATCACTGCTGATGTGTCTTTCAAGAGCCACATGCATCACTCCAGAGAAGGAAAGGGGGGAAATGGGTGGGGGACATGATAAAAGTGACAGAAAAGCAATTTCCATTGCATTTTAAAAGACGGCTATTAAAATTTTACAGGAGCTTTATTTTCAGGGGCTTTCTGATCATCTCAGGAATTTTTTTTAATGGGGAGTCTGGTGATAAAGGAAAACATTCCAGGTACTTCTGGTTCCCTCCTGCCCTGACAAGCATCTTGAAAACCAAAATTGTTAGGTCTTCATATACCCACTTAGAGATAGCACCTACCCGAGAAGCTATTTCAGAGTTTTTTAAAAGTATTCATTTTCCTGTATTTGCCGTTTCTGTGTATAGTAACTTTTTTAATTTTATTTTGCGCTTTCCTAAGGGCTCGTTAATGAGCTGTGGGAATCATCAAGAACTACAGCTGCCTCTGCCCTTCCATGTTAGTTGAGAGTCATTTAGTTTTGTGAACAAATACAAATTCAGGTTAACCTGCTTAAGTATAGAAGGAAATGTATGTGTTCACAGCCTGTGACAATGTACAATATATAAATAATGGCTTCAGGCATGGCTGGATCCAGAGCCTCTCCTAAGGTTGCCAGGACTCTGTTTCCTTCCACCTCCCAGCTCTGCATTTTTCTGTGTTGATTTTAATCTCAGGTAGGCTCTTAGGCAGCTCCACATGTATATCCAACTATCGTAGCAGCCCCAAGAGAAATAATCTCCTTCCCTGTAGTCCCAGCACATGTCCTAAGGCTGGTGTTCATTAGCCAGGGGCAAGGAAGGCGGAGGGTGGGGGGGAGTGCAGTGGCTTTATTAGTTAGGCCTGGATCATGACCGTTCCCCCCTTCCCTACTAACCCATGGGTAGGGTCATTCCCACAGGAATTCGATGGGTTGAGTGGGAAAGGTGAGATTCAGGAAGCTAACCTAGAAGGGCAAACAATGCACTGTGGGCTGAGACTGCCGATGCACAGGACCCTTTCCCATATGAAGTTCACAAGGATCTGAGTCTGCCCTCACCCCCAAATTGTCATCTTCCCTAGGAACATGCTTCACCTTTTCCCTGTCTCAGGTCTAACTTAGGGGTTCTTAATCTCGGGACTATGGACCCTTGAAGGGTCTGTAGATGAGGTTTAGAGGACTGTGAAGTTGGCTGGGGGAAAAAATTACATCTTTATTTTCTCTGCCATCTAACTGAAATTTAGCACTTTCTCTCCTTCTGAATGAGGACCACGGGCCACAATTGTATTAGTTACACCTGAGACCGTCACCACTAGAAATCCTAAATATTTCCATATCACGTTATAGTTGTTGCAGATATCACAAAATATTATTAGACTCATCTATTTCTAAATTATTAGTCATTGGATCCACAACCAAGATTTCGTCATTTAAAGCATTCATAAAGAATCACATGTATCTCAAATTTGGTTGTGTTTTACAGGTATTTTGATATCTGAATATAATTGGTTTTCTTTGTAATCTGTGTGTATTGTATTTTATACTTTTAAAAACACAATTCGGAGAAGAAATTCACACTCTTCTTTACCAGGCTGCCAACAGGGGTCCCTAGCATGAGAAAGATTAACAACCCTTTTGGGCTTCTCCATGAGCACCTCAGGATTATTGAAGCTACTGTGATTCCTGGGCCCTGGAAAGGTGGCTTGTTAGGTTTCCTTCTGGGAGGCTTCCTGGAGGAGCTGGCTGGCGTTTGAGCTCAGCCTTGGCGTGTGGGCGGCATTTGGACATAGCGGTATTGGGCAAGAGGGACAGGGAGGCATTGCCAGTCTGTGGTCAGCCCTCTCTTCATTGACTGCCATGACTCTTGCCTGGCCGAGTGGTCAGGAGCAGGCTCTGGAGCCAGGCTGCCTCGGTTCATCCTAGCTGTAGTATACATTTGACTTGCTGGATGCCTCAGCTAGTGAGTTCCTTTCCTACTCCATGCCTCATGTCCTTATATGTAGCATAGACATAATAATAGTATCTATTTCTTAGGGTTACTGAGAGAGTGAAATGAGTCAGCACATGTCTGTTAGGACAGAACCTAGCCATAGAGAGTGAGACTTACTATTTAGTGACCATCTGTATAGGAAGGTGCTCAATTTTCCTCTCAGGTCCCATCTCCCTGACTTGGTAAATGCCTAAACTGAAATGGGATGGTGAACAATATAGACAGTGGTTTCTCAGCCTGAATACATTTATTTGTCCATGAAATATCCATTCAAATGTGAAGAACTATACTAAATATTTTAAAGCATAAATTAATAATACAAAGTTTCCATGAAATCCATTCAAATATGAACAACTATTAACATTCAAAAGCATAAATTAATATAAAGTTACAGGTTAAGACAAGTGATATTTCTCTGTGAATCCTCACAAGTGTCTGAAAGAAATGTCCTCATAATGGCCTACTATCTGCCCCTGTCAGCTCCCTGTTCTCATCTCCCACCACTCATTCCCTCACTCACCTGGACCAGGCACCTGGGCTTCTTGCTGATCTTCAAATGCTCTGTGTACAAACACCTGCCTTCTTTGCACTAGCCATTTTGGTGTTCTTTCTCAGATAGTCACATAGTTCGTAATCTCCTGTATTCAAGTATCTGAATTCAGGGATCCTCTCCTCAGGCCTACTCTGATCATTCTGTGAAGTAGCAGCCTCATCACTCTCCTCACCCTGCTCCCTGACTTCATATTGTGTTTATTGTCTTCCTCCCCTACTGGAATGTCTGCTTCCTGAGGACAACAACTTTTCTCAGTCACTGGTGTCCCCTCAGTGCCTGGCATAGAGCAGGTGTTCAATAAATATTTGTTAAAGGCATGAGTTAGTGAATAACAGACAGGTGCTATAGCCAAAGACGTAACCTTGTTTTTTCCCTCTCTCTAGATGCACAGTCTTTGACATCAGCTCTCCTGGGACCCTGAAGGGACACTAGAGTCCAGAATATTCTGAGGGTGAGTACAGTGTGGCTGGGTTTTGGGGTTTTTTGGGGTTTTTTTGCTTCAATTTTACAACTAATACACCTAAGCTTCTTTATTATTTAAAAAAAAAATAGTTATTTGAAAGAGTATCAAGGGAAAGATGGAAGTCTCCTTCACTATCCCTCTATACCTACAAGTCTAATGTCCCTCAGAAGTAATGACATCAGAAGGTCAGTGGGTATCCTGCCAGACCCCTTCCTGTTCATGAATATTTCTACTTATGTATATGCACACTTAGTATTTTAGTTTGCTATATAAAGATGAAAGCCATGCTATAGAGTTGCATCTGTAGCAGTTTCTCACTGTCCCCAGCAGTAGTATATCTTGGAAATCTTTGTTCATAGCATGCATTGGTATGTCAGTCTTTTTTCTCTTTTCAACTTTTAAACTCACTTTTTCTTAACTTACAGAAAGTAAAATTCACTCTTTGCTATACAATTTATGTAACTCTCACCACAGTCATGAAGGTGACCCTGTCGCCCACCTCTGCATAGGCAAAAACTGCGGTGTAGGTATTTATACATAATTAAAACATGTAAATATTATAAATGCCTTTAATATAAAAATTTTGACTATGATATATCTAGGTTTCTGGGGGATTTGTTAGTGAACACCCTCTTTTGTTTCTTTGGGATAGAGCCTAAGCAGAGGAGTGGCCTTGGAGTATGTGGCATTCCTGGTGGGGCGTTCCAAAGTGGGACACCAGCCTTTGTTGGCAGGATGCGATGAGGGCACTGAGGAGGCGTTGTCTGATCCTCGAAGCACCAAGAGGCCCTAACAGTGTGGAAAGTGGGGGCGCTGGAAGATTCTGGCATCCAGACTGTGGATGGCAGGCAATGATGTTGGCTCAGTTACAGAGACTAGTCACTTGAGCTTTGGGAACTGAGTGAATCAAGACAGTAACTTCTCTCCTGACTATTGAGCCCCATCACATTCCTTCATCCTGGCCTAAGGTTCTGCCTGGATTCTAGGAGCTTGTTTGTGGGACAGTCTCTCGGGGCCAGATTTTCATCAAACGATGCTTCTTAGCACAATTCTTTATTAACTTTTTTAGTTTTAAGGAATTTTAGATTTACAAAAGAGTTGCAAAAATAGTACAAAGAATTCACATATATATATAAAACCATCACTCAGTTTCCCCAATATTCCCATTTTATATAAGTTTAACACAACTATGAAAACCAGGAAATTAACACTGGTCCAGTACTATGAACTAAATGACAGACTTTAGCCTAGTTTCGCTCATTTTTCCACTGATGTCCTTTTTCTGTCCCAAGATCCTATCCAGGATCCCATACAGCACTTAGTTGTCATGTCTCCTTAATCACCTCCAATCTGTAACAGTTCCTCAGTCTTTTCCTTGAAAGAGGACAACTCTGTTATTTTGTAAAATGTTTCACTATGGGTTTGTCTGGTGTTTCCTTATGACTAGATGGAGGTTATGCATTATTTGGCAGGACACCACAGAGGTCATGTGCCCTCTTCAGTGCATTGGACCAGGGGATCCTTGATGTCCCTGTGTGTTATCACTGGTGCTGTTAACCTGAATCAGTTGATTAAGGTGCTGCCACTGGGTCTCCACTGTAAAGTAACTGTTTTTCCCTTTGTAACTGATAGATACCTTGGGGGAGGTACTTTGAGACAATGCTTATTTCTCCTCACTCCCACTAATTTTGGCACAGAGGTGAATCTTGCTTGCAATAGTTATTATTGTGGTATTCCCCTAATGGTGATTTTTGTATGTCCCCCATTCCTTCTGCATTTATTAATTGTCCACATAATTAATTTTGAAAGGAAGACCTGTTCCTTCTCATTTATTTCAGCTTTTGGTTATTAACATATTTCTGTATGGCTTTAGAGATACTCATTTTATTATAGCACATTCCTGGTTAATGTGGTGAGAAGTCCTAAGGTTTGAGTGAATTTCTAGTATCACCTCAAGCTTCAGGAAAACCAGCATTTTCCAGCATTCTACATGGTAAACCTTAGGGAACTGGAAAGCAGGAAATAGGGTTTCATTTGGTCATGCATTTGCTTTAAGACAAGTGAATACAGGATAAGTTGTTTGGGGACAAGTCACTACAGAGATAAGTAAAGCAGACAGGGGACTGACTGGGAGTCACCAGGGGCGACTTTAGACAAGGTGATCTGGAAAAGTCTCTCTGAGGAGACCCTGGGTGGAGGGAGTAAGGCAGGTGCCTGACCTTATCTTTCACCACCCAGTGAGAGATCTAACTGAATTATCTCATTTTGGATCAGGGTTTCAGGATTCATGGCAAATAAAGAAATGTGTCCCCTCTCTGAGGGGCAGCTCCTGCTTACCTGTAGCTCACTGTTGCCGTGTGGAAATGCCAGGCATTGCCAAATCTTCTGATATTTTTCCCCAATAAAAGGCAGAAATGAGGTATTCTTGCTAGTTCATTGAGCCCAAATTATGTCAGATAATTTTTAGTGGTATGTGGATGAATATATTTTATTTCTTTTCATTGTATTTATTTACTGAGTTACCTTTGTAGCAAAGGATTTTTATTTTGCATTTTGGTGGTAATGCCAATTCCCTTTTAAATATATGTATGTATATATAAGTGTAAAAGTGAATTAATTTAAAGAAAATATTGAGTAAATAGTCGTGCAGATGGGATATAGATGCAGCTGAAAAGAAAAGGCGGAACAGAGTGACTGAGCTTTGGTAAACACTATTCTGGCTCGGCCTTTCACTCTTTCTTCTAGATCTGGAGTTCTTAACTAGGAACCTGAACAAGGTTTGACAAACGATTACCATGGACATGGGCCCCAAGCCCCAATTTTTGCCATGGTGGGTGTATCAGCCAAGAATGCTTTCAGCTGCAAGAACAGACAACCCAGCTCACAGCAGCTTAAACAAAAGAGGATTGATTTCCTTCCCATCACAATAAAACCTGGAGGCAACTTGGCTGCCATTAGTCGAGAGGCTGAGTGATGTTCAAGCTGGAATCACTGATTCTCTTGGCCTTCCCCTCATGGTTATACGGTTGCTACTCCAGCTCCAGCCAGAACAAAGAAGGGGAGACTCAACTCCAGGAGCTTATGTTTTTCAGTTCTGGACTGCTTAAGCACTCCCAGAATCCCCCAGAAGATCCGAATTACATCTCATTGGCCAGACATGGGTCATATGGCCTTCCCTAGCTCCAAGGAGGGTGGCAAATTTCAGCTTCTCCTTAGAAGGAAGTCAAAGAAAAGGGGAATTGAAAGTGTCAGTTGGGTTAGCAGCCAGCAGCGTCTGGCTCCACAGGCGAAGAAAAACAATAATAATTAGCATTAGTGGGTGATGACTTTGTCAAGCCCAGCAGTAAGCCTTTTGCGTGCATGATCTCATTCAGTCAGCACACCCAGCCTATGAAGTTGCTCCTGTGGTCTCCCCATAGGAATGACTTGGAAACTGAGGCACAGAGTAGTGAAGCCTCTTGCCAAGTAGAGAAGCCAGGGTGGGAACCTTTGCAGTTTGTCTTTACAGACCTGACTCTTTGCTACTACCCTTCATTGCCTCATAAGAGGTTTGGGTATCCTAGCTGGCCTCAGCTTAAATTCTTCCAGCAAGGGAGGAAGAGGGCAAGCATATTTTGTTTTGGGGAAATTTTGATTATTAAAAACTTTTCTTGTGCATTACATCTGCTCTGTGTAACTACCTCTCCACTGGTCCTGGTTTGGTCCTGGTGAGCAGCACCAGCCACTTGTCTTACTGGCAACCCTTTGGGGCTTAGAAGTGGTTGAGAAGACTTCTCTTGATCTCCCTTTCTCAAACAAATTGTAGCTGTGCTTTTCATTATTCTTCCCAAAATGAGGCCTCCTGCCTTGGGGTTTTTTCTTTCTCGGGGCTCTGCTGGTCGACTCAACACACATTCAATATGTGCCTTTGTGCCCATCCCTGTAGTGCTGAGCTATATAGGTGAGACAGCTTCATGCCTAGGTGGGTCCTGCACTCATTCATTCAGTGAGGGAGGCACACCCTCAATGATAGCTCAGCAAGGTCAGGGCTGTATGGGGGAAGCCAGGGGACAGTGGGAGCCCAGAGGAGGTGTCCAGCCCTGCTTGGGTATCAGGGAGGGCTCCTGCAAGCATCTTTGGGCCTTAGAAGAAGACTAGAGATGCATCAAGCAACAGTTTCTCATTTCTGAACCTCCACTCCCTTCCTCTGTAAAATGAGGGATTTAGACTTACGTTTCCATCTGTCCATCCATTCAACAAACACTGACTGGGCATATCCCATTTTCTGACTTACAGGGATATCCTACTGGAAAGATGGTACTCTGAGAGCTTCTATTTCTCCTAAGGTTGTCTTGAGAATTAGAAGGTGATTACAAGTCTCAAGTACTTAGGACAGTGCCTGGCACAGAGTAGTCACATAATAGATAAGATGGTGGCAATGCCAGTGGCTTACATTCATTAGCCCCTACTACATGTCAGAGGTTAGGCAGCTTAGTCACCAGCCCATAAGATAATAAACTTTTAGCTTCTGCATTTGTGATTGTTTATTCCCCAAGCTTGCATGGTTCCTGGATATGGCAGAACTGTGCTTTGGGAACAGGCTTGTACAGTTGAGGCCTATGCCAGAAATTTTGCAGGTGAAAACAGGAGTTTCTTTGGTCTGTTTGGAAACCCAAGCTGTTATCCTCCCAGTCCCCTTTCCATCTAGTCTCCAGGCCTCTCGGCACTGACCACTAGCACATAGACTCCCCTTGACCTCAGTGGCCAAGAATGCATAGATGCTCTGCTCAGCCCATCAGTCCAGTCCCAAATTAGACCTGACAGCATGATTTATTCTCTGGGATGGAGCTGGAAGGGCAGAGCCCCAGTGAGTGATTCCACAGGAAGGCTGTCTACCCTAATTAGTGCAGGTCCTTTATGCACCCTTGCAGTTTCAGCTTCTTCCAGCTAATAGAGCTTTCCAGGTATTAGGGCTTCTGATCTGCCTTCTCCCATCCCCACGGGCTGAG